CTGAAGATACATTCAGAATGCTTTTCTCTAATGACCAGAGTCTGGTTTCAGAAAGGACAAGTGAACTAAATGTTGAGAATGTGTAACAATGACACCTTTTAAGACCATGTTGACTACTTCTTTCAATTCTTCAGCTGTATAACAGCAACAAAAAATGTAGGTAAAAGTTTGAGTCAGTCCTTTTCAGGAGCCTAAAATGTACACTGAGTATTTTCACAGAATTTAACTAATCCAGCAAATGGATTTGGACCTAAAAATGATTTGGCCTTTAAAGCTGATTCTGTTTGCAAAATATTAGTAGCAAAACCAGGGTAGTAGAGAAATTGACAACAAAAAGTTTTGCAACTGAAAAAAGTGAAGAAAAACTTCAATTTTATTGGGTGATCTAAAAGTACCAAGCTAAGCTACTGGCATGTAGTCTAAATTCAAAACATTTATTTTAAAAAGTATACATACAGGGGGCTGGGGATTTAGCTCAGCGGCACAGCGCCTGCCTGGCAATTGCAACGTCGTGAGTTCAATTCCCGGTACAGGAAAACAAACAAACAAACAAAACCAAAAAAGTATACATACAAATATGTATGCAGTTATAACCAATAAAAACCAACCAACTCTCTGTGAATAGAAAATGTCATCATAATATCAGTATTTAAAGCTCACCTTAGTTTTCCAACTAATTAATGACCGTTATCTTAGAATCAGAAGACTCGTAATGTATCGTTCAGAAACAAACAAAATCAAAGACCTCTGCTGAAGATGTGCCAGTCCTCGAGAACCGCACAAGCATTTCGAAGAATATATATTGATTCAAAGGAGATGACTCACTGCAATGAATCTGATCAATTACAAAAATTCAGGGCTTCCTCTTAGAAAGTATTTCCTTTCAAAAAGAAATCTATTCATTTGGTAAAATTTTCAAATATTGTTTAATTCAAAAATCATTACCTTTCATTTGGCATTTCCCAAATCTCTAACAAACGTATGAATTAGTCATTGTAAGACTGTCTCATTCACCCTGAACTTTTTCCTCTATCCGAGAAAGAGCTCTTCCAAAACAACTCTTATTTCCAAAATGGGTTTCAACAAGGCATACGCAAATCAGTGCATGTATGCCAGGAAAATCACAAATGCAAATACAAAGTAACTAAATTATAGCTTAATGCCAATTATACTTTTAGAATGGTTCTTACAAAAAGTCAAACTGTCTTTTTAATTAAATGACATATTTAAAGAGGCAAGCGAAAGCTGGAATGCAGGATTTTATAATGAAGTAAGTAATAGAGAAATTCAAATCTCCCACAGAATCGTCTAGCTTACAGTCCATACAGCCAGTTGCCCCTATATAAATGTGGGAAACACGTGTCTGCTTGAAGCTAACTCAGCCAGAGCATAGTGAAAGCATTTGGACATCCGTGTTGTGAAATTCTGGCTTTTAAATTATATATTTATGTACGAAACAAAATTCTAAAAGCTTCTTAAAAATTATATCCCAAGCATATATGCATTCAGAGGTAGGCATTATAAAAATGTTATTTTAACAATGAAATGTTTTCTGTAAAATATGATTAGAATGAAATTTTGTCTCTCTGTGTGTGTGTGGTGTGTGCTAACAAGTTCCCATATATTACTTCACCTTATTTTACTCTAGTTTACCAGGGAAAATTGAGAGAAAAGAAAATAAAAAAAGAAATGGAGAATGACATAATATACTTATTACCGTTTATCCAAATCTTTGTTATTTGAAGATATTTGCAGTATAAAGGATTGCCACCGCTGCATCTAAAAAAGAAGTATTTGTGGAGTAATAATACATATTTTTCATATAGTTTCTAATGATATACTCAAAAAGTAATGGACATGTCACAATCAGATATTATCCCAATGGTCAGTACATGTCCCAAGATGTTAGTCTGTCGTTACATAACAATTTCGCGTACTCGTGTTATCTACCTGTTTTTGTAGATGTCAAATCACTGCCCCACTTTGTTTAAATATGTTTAACTCAGCAAGCTTGTTTAGAGCAACACATTCCTGATAAAATTCTAATAAAAACAGGATTCTTCAAAAATGAAAGACTGCAGGTTAAATATTTTAACTCAGGATTAGAGCTCTGGGTAGTATTTGAAAACTGTAGCGGCAAGCTTTCTGTTGTTGGGACAAAACCCCTGACAGGTACAGTTGAAAGGATAAAGGGTTTGTTTAGCCTCATAGTTTCAGGGGCTGAGTTCACAGCCAGCTGGCTCTGAAGGAGAAACACAGAGGAAGCATTCAGCAGAGGATTCCTTCGAACCTCCTGGCAGCCATAAAGCCGGAGAAGAAAAGCCAGAGATGAGATACACCCCAAGGTCACACCTTCATAACCCATGTGGACACACCAGAACTGTGCTTTAGTAATCTCTTGGGTGTCTCACAAACTAATCTATTTGGTAATCAAGACGAACAATCACCTGTTTTCTGTTTGACACCCAAGACAATCTCCCTAATTTACAACCTCCAAATATAAACTATAGCAAGGTATGGATTCCACTTAGCATATGTATAACTATTTCATATACACCTGAAAACTCACTAATTATTTACCCAAAGTCCAGACAATCCCAGCATTACTCAAAATTCCAAGTCCAAAATCTCTTGTGAGACTCAAGGCAACTCAGTCCCAGTTAAAAAAAAATCAAAAACAAAACATAAATAAATAAAACAATAATCAGCTACATAATACCAAGATGCCACATGCATGGGGGAGTAAGCTTCCCCATTCTAAAAGGGAGGAATTAAACTAAAACAAGGTGGAAACTCAGCAACCATTAAATCCCGCAGGACAAACATCAAATCCCATCACCCTGTGTCCACATCTGGGACATGGGTAGCATGATACGAGCTCCAAAGGGCAACCCTACCCCCGTGGCCTTGCTGGATGAAGCCTATGTAGTTTTTCTCCTGGGCAGCTTCTGCTTATTGCCCATGGCTTTATTTGGCAATCAGTTGACAATGAAGAGTATTCATCAAAAAACATAGTTACCAGAGCTTTGTAAATGCCAGCATTCATAGATAGATAGATAGATAGATAGATAGATAGATAGATAGATAGATCGATCTCAGTCTTAGCGAAGTAACTTAGGGCATAAGCTATCACCTGTCCAAGGCCCAGTTATCCTTCCTTCACCCAGTGGTCCAGAGTTTGGAGTTGAATAAAGTTTCTTTGCCTCACTTACGAGTGTGAAGGCCTTGGAGAGGCCAGGGAAACAAGGTAAATATCACTTTAGGAAAAAGTTACAATTGATAGACAAGAGAGACCAAGACCCAGAAAATCAGACATGAGATGAACACCAGGGTCACTGTCTGGGTTATCAAACTGAATTTTAGAAGAGACAGAAATGGGATCAATCTTGCTACCTTTTGAGCAGGTATGGTGTGTAGCAGACGGGTGAGGTAAATAATGAAGCTGTCAGGGAAAGTTTATTACTGCGTAAAGACAGTGCTGACGTTTGTTTTCATCAGCTAGTAGACGACCTTTCACACAAGCCCTTGGGAAGCCCTTAAGCCATGACCGTTGTGTGTAGTGGTCAAGGCAGTTATTTGGTTTTTCTCTTTGTAATACTCTTACCATCTATTACCTTAGCCTCTTGTTAAAAATACTGCTTTGTAGAAACACTATTTTCTTGCTGTAGTAAGAATCTTAGGAGGACAGACATTTAATAAATGTTAATATTAGCTCACCCTTGTTGAATGCTTAGCTAAGCTCATTTAGCACTACATTGTTTTGTTACATATTAATAGTTATTTTACAATTTGAGCAACTGATTTGAAGACAATAATATACAATAGAACAACCATTGGTGAATTCCTACCATCTTGTCTAGTGAAGCTCTGGATCATCTCTAATTATTTTAATAATTTTTTTTATCCTCTTTAATGGTTTGATCCATCTACCATTCTTACATCTGGTAGTCTGAGTAACTTCACTGAAGATACCAATATGTAATATAACAACTACTGTTAATTCCTCTCATTTTGTTTTGAAACCCTGTATCATTTTTAATGTTCTTGCTTTGTTTTGATTATGTCTGTGATGTTGGCATTTTGCTATTGTTCTTTTTCTTTACTACTCTCCTAAAAAAGTTATTTTACATTTTATATCTCATGTAAATAAATTTCAGCACGGCTATGCAGACACCTCTGCAATAAAGAAAGAAGCTCATTTTAACCTGGTAATTATACCCTCTGCTGGTGGTTAAATTCTTCCTTATGAAACCTTGTGAAATGATTCTCTTCAACAAGAGTTTATGATGATGTAAGAATATAGAGCAATTATGCACTACTTTAGAAACTCATGTTTGCTAATCCTAAGGTCAATGTCCTCTCAAGAAAAACATGATACATTTAGTGGAATGAAAGACTCTTATCTTTAGAAAGTTGCATTCCAGAAACTGGTGCTCAAGTCTGGAGAGGAAATCACCTTTGAGGAATACTGAGGAATAAGAAGAGGAAATTTTTTAGAATGTCTCCAAAGTATTATAAGGTAAAATATGTGCTGGGAGAAAAGGTAGATCTGAGATTAGATATTTGCAATAATAATAACAGGAAATTAGCATCTTTCTTGAAGATGTGGCATTTGACCTTCAGAAAACACAAAAGACAAAACAAAATAGCAGTAATCTAAATGAAATAAGCTTGTAACAAGATATTTTGCAAAGGGGATAAAGATGAAAATGGAACAGGGCATATATGGCAGTTTTTCTAATGATGTAATTGGAAGACTTAATCATCATTCAAATGCTTGGATTTGCATTGCCACAGTTTCCTGGGAAGAGCACCTGATTTCAAAGGGAGCCTGTCTAGTTTTCTTCTTTGTTGGAAAAATGAGTATAATGCTCTACCTAGGATCCAGAAGTTGACAGAAGACCGGATTTCTCCGTGCTGCATGGTCCTGTGTGTGAGATCATCAGGAGCAGGTATTTAAGACCATCTCCAAGGAAACACTGAGGTTCATCACAGGAAACATGAACTTGCCCTCCTTAGATGTTTTTCATATGATCATCGTGTCGGTAGAATTCTTTGCAGGGATTACAGTCAATGCATTTCTTTTAATTGTGAACTGTAAGGATTTCATCAAAGTCAGAAAGCTCGTACCACTGCAAATCCTTCTAATTTGTGTAGCGTTATCGAGACTGGGCCTGCAGGTTGTGCTAATGACACATAGCTTGGTCTCTGTATTCTTTCCGGATGATTATGACGAATTTATTTATAGTGTAAAAATGATGCTCATTTGGATGCTCTTCAGCTCCCTCACTTCCTGGTTCACCGCTTGCCTTTCTGTATTTTACTGCCTCAAGATTTCGGTCTTCACTCAGTCCTGTTTTCTCTGGTTGAAATTTAGAACTGCGAAGCTCATACCCTGGCTACTTCTGGGAAGCGTGCTGGCCTCTCTGAGCACCGCGGCCGTGTGTATTGGACTAGGAGTCCCTACTATGGTCTTTGACAACGCCACGGAGAAGAATACAATGGCTGACGTACAGGCCACTCACGGATTTCTTCTTCTTAACTTGACGCTAACACTTCCTCTCGCTGCGTTTGCCCTCTGCACCTCTCTGCTGGTCGTCTCCCTTTACAAGCACACTCACTGGATGCAAAACGGTCCTCACGGTACTTCGAACGTCAAGAAAGAAGCGCATCTAAATGCACTAAAAACAGTTGTATCATTCTTTTGCTTCTTTATCTCTTACTTTGCTGCCTTCATGGTGAATATGACGTTTAGCATTCCTTTCAGAAGCCACCAGTTTTTTGCAGTGAAGGAAATAATGGCAGCGTTTCCTTCTGGCCACTCAGTGGTGATAATCTTGAGTAACTCGAAGTTCCAACAATCATTCAGGAGAATTCTTTGCCTCAAAAAGAAGCAATGAAGCTAAGAGGGACTGGGAAACACGTTTTTCCTTGGATTTATTTGTGTTTCCTGTGTTTACTTTTCCTCCCTTTGTGGCAATTTCTTACCCACATTTCACCACAAGACACCAACTGGGTCATTAATTCTGCGGCTGCATGGACAAGATACTTCTCTCTCCGAGGCTTGTGTACTCAGAAATATTGTGATGATAATACATTTTGCTAACTAGTGTCTGCACTGAAGTACCGGTTAGTTTAAGAAATAAGAAAAAAAAGTCCTAAGACTTCCTGTAGCTAATCAATGTTTTAGATAATGTATCTGTCTCCCCAGGGCATTGGGAATGTTCTGGCTGAGATAGGGAAAAAGCATCTTGATTGAGTTTAAGACTTGCAATCAACAGAATACTTTGGTAGTTTGGGGGTACTTAGGTATGTTTCAAGAGATACATTAGTTCAACACAAATCATATGCTGAAATTGTCTACCGTAGCAAAGTACCCAGTGATACTGGTTAAGATCGCATATTGCTTTTAACCTCAAGTGCGTAGATGATAAAACATACCTTGAACTTCCTTGGCTGTGTGCCCATTTCCCAAAGGAAAGAAATTGTTTTCAGCCTCTTGAAGTAAAAAGCTCAGTCCCAGAGAAAATGTAGGGAAAGTAAAGCATCAGCAGTAAACACGGGACAATGGGATACTTTTTCCAGCTGGGACCCTTGTCTGGGGCATGGCCGCAGCAAATCACTCCAAGATCTAAAGTAAAAGTTTTGGAATTTGTTGCTAGATTTGAATTGATGCTGCTGTTTAAGAATGTTGATGTTTAATGATGTTGTTTAAGAATGTTGAATAACCTTGATTGGGGAAAAAATATCTATTGCAGTACCATTTATCTCTTAGGGTATCCATTTTAACCTATAAAATCATCTTGCCTAAATAAATGTTGCCATTTTAACCTTAACAAATTGTAATCAAAGTAGATTAAAAGTGGTGGCAAGGAGGAGAAACTAGATGAGTCTGTTGGTGTGCAACGTTTTGCTACCAGATAAAAGGAAATTCAAAATCTGTACTAGCAATTCTTTGATTCTTTTCTGAAGCAGAGGTTCTCAAATTTGAACGGACATGGAAGTATCACCCAGGGGGCTTGTGGAAACACAGACTTCCAGGCTCCATTTCAAGGGTTGCTAAGTCACTAGGTTGTGGGTGGGGCCTGAGAATTGCTAACAAGTCTCCACATGATGTTCACGCTTGTGGGCTGGGGGCACACTTTGAGAATCACCACCTTAAAGACTCTCTGGTTGAGGACCTGGCTTCTGAAGCACGTTGGGTGGATTTGCACATGGCCAGCTGCTAATTAGCTCTATAAACCTGAACATGTTATTAGACTCTGCCTCACTCTTCTCATCTGTAAAATGAGATGATAAAACTATCTACTCCCAGAGGTGGCTGTCAGTCTGCAGGTGTTAGCAGGTGTAAAACATTTGGACACTTTCTGGTACAAAGCAACGGTCAATTAGGCTCAAATTAGTGTACTGGGAAAATATTCAGTTGCCATTAAAGGAAAGGCATGCATCTCTCTGCTGCTTTGAAATTAGAGAAATAACATTAAAATTTCATATTAGGACTCTAAAAGATAAAGTATACATTGCTTTAAAATAATAGACAAAGTATTTTGATAAGGCAGGACAGGGAATAAACGGGCATTTCAGAATGCCATCAAAGGCACCAGGCAGAAGAAAGTGATAGTCCTGCTCTGAAGCAGCATTTACACTCAGTCAGAGCAGTCTACTTCGATCAGTGCAACTTGAACATAGACGCCTGAGGAAAAGTCTCTGACTGCAGTACAGTTCAGAGGCCCCTTGTTACTGAGCTTTGAACATTAGGCACCATTTGCTAGCATCACAGATTACTAGGTATTTCTTTTTCGTGCACAACTTGTTTTGCAGATAAATACAGCAAACCTGTTTCGTAGACAAAGATTTCCATTTCTGAGTCTTTAGAAAGTCCCTCTTCCTTATGGCAATCGCTGATCATTGGTTTAAAAATCTCTTCTAGGATTTATTGGGGTTCTGTGGTGTAACAAACACCACTGTCCTAAAATGACCCTGAGAACTTGCGCTGGCTGCCTCCACACTGAGATAACCAGAACCGGAGGTTTCTCTCCCTTCTTTAAGGGAGAAGTTGCCGCCAACAGCGTCCCACTTGCTTTTTTTCTCTTGAAAAAGAGGAAAAGCACTTTGCCCGTGTTCCGTTGTCACGGGGTGTTGACCAGACAGTGTTGTCAAACTTCCTGTGAATGGCTGTCATGGAAAGTTGGGAAGATTGGTTCCAGACACCTTCTTCGTTGGTGCTCTGCGCCCACTTCCTCCTGCTGTAAAGTGCTCTCTGACTTGCTTGGTGACAAGGAATCCCACCACTCGCCGTGTTCACCGCGTGTCCAGCACCATGCCCTGGTCCAGGCCCCCACCCAGGAAATATTAGGAGGGTCTGAAGACCTGGCCCTCTCCTTTCCTTTTTGTTTATGACTTTGTCATTATCCCAATACCGACGCTGTGTGACGCGTCCCGCGAGGGCTGTAAAGCGGCTGCCACGCTGTTTGAGGGAAGTCTAACGTCCGGAAACATCCACTGTTCGGGACCTAGCGTCCAACAACCCAGCTTACACCACACTGTCATCGTAACAGATCTGAAAAGGTGCAATCTCGTTTTCCAGAGCAGTTCTCTTATTGCTCTGCTATGTAATATATATAATTTTATGGGTCTGAATTTATATAAATAATTATGTTACTTTATTATGGCCTCCCTCTTAAGCATAAATTCTTTCTTAACATATTTGTTATTTCCCACTTGGAAATTGCTCCCATGATAACGAAGGCAATAAAAACAGAAATTAGAGTGTTTATCTATGGGATAGCATTAGTACTATTATTTATTACTTCTTCCCGGTAAAGAACCCGTGTCACTATTTTCTTGTTCTGAGTAGAATTTAAGATCTATTTTATTTCTTTCTTAACTTACAGAGCACGTCAAAGTGTAGCTAACTTTATTTTATTTTACGTTTTGCTTCCTTTTTATTTTAAAGATAAAAGAACAAAAACATATTAACAAGCAAACGAACATAAACCAAACAACACCAAAACAATAGAAGCAATAGAGAATGTCAAACAAGGTGACAAGAAATTAACAATGGTTGTTGTATTACATGCTGTTATCTTTAAATTGGTTACTCAGTTAAACAAATATAGACATGTAAGATTGATCAAACAATTAAACATCAACTGTTCCTTCGCATAAAGCAATAGAAATTAGTAGTACAATTATCTTAGCTAATTGTACTGTAGCTAGCTTTATATGATAAAAATTATTATGATTTATTTTAATTCATTTGTATAAATATGTGTAACATTCAAAAGTGTGCTCATTCATTAATGTATATATATATATTGTGTGTGTATATATATCTATAGATCTATCTATCTATATATGTGTGTGTAAATCAGTGTGTGGAAGTTTTCATTTGCCACAATTTTTTAGCATTTTCTTTTTGTGCAAGCTGAGAAACAGATCCCTAGACATCGCAGTTCTATGTGCGGTAAAACTTTAGTATATGATCGTAATTATCAGGTTAAGGGAAAAGTCTTTGGTGGTTTTACACGTGAATTCAGCCACTTAGTGACACAGTGACACTTCCATGTCAGGAAATTCCGAGAACGCATACAAGAGCGCGTTAATGAGAACTCCGAGGAGCGACTTTGTTGTTCTTTCATCCCGGTGCCCTTCCTTCCCTTTTTCTCTTTCCTTGGTGCTGTCATCGAGGGTAATTGTTGCTCTTTGTTACTCTAAGAAATTTGCAAACATTCTCAAACTTCAGGGGTGTTCGTCTTACTAACTACCTCATGATACCTTCTTACAAGTTTTACCTATTTTACCCTATTATTCGTAATATTTTTGAAATCAGGGGTCATGTTCAAATGTATTTTAGCCCCTACAACTAATAATACTGAACTAATCATAAACAGGCCCTTGAATACAAGTTTTTTATTAAGAGCCGTATCCATCTCCATGAAAATAAATGTATAAAATAGGATTGCATAACGATAGGTTAATTCTATTCCCAAAACTTAGTCAATTCAACTCTCCTGTTGTTTTCATGAGGAAAAATCCGTAAAATTGAACATCAGAGAAAACAGTATAGGACAATTTTTTGCTTTTCAGTTTATAAAACTGCGACAATATTTTAAGTAATGCACTGCTGCCACCTAGTGGCCAAATTGCTCTTTAACTGAAACAACAGTTGACATAATCAAGACATACCGTTAGGAAAGTTGGCAAGGAAAATTTATATCCCATTATAAAGATAAGAAGAGAAGAAAAATCCATGCTCAAGTAATAAAAAATTTAGTAATATATGTGAGTAAATAATTAACCTCCTCAAAAGGAAAGTTAGTAAAGAAAAAATCAAAATCATTTATGGTATAATAGGAAACATGATACGGATATAGTGAGTTTATATTTATTTTCAAGATCTTGTGCTGTGCTTATGTTTTAAAAATAAAACATTGTTATTTTAAGGGGAAACATTCTGAAATAATTACTGATACAATGATGTGATGTTTCAAAACAATAAGAGAAATGAAGGGAAATTTGAGATATATTAAAGAAGTTTTTGAAACAAGATTGGCCATATGTTGGTAATTTTTAGGCAGGATGATTGTTACATGCTCACAGGGAAGCATGACACAATTTTGACTTTATGTTCAAAAATTTTATGTGTTTGAAATTTTTTACAACATAAAGTTTCTTTTTAGTATTGCCAAGAGTTATGTAACTAATTATGTAGGAATTGATAAAGAAGATATCTCTGTAGGTTGTTGACTGAAGTTAGTAGATTGAGCCATAAGGCAGATAAAAGAACTTATAATCTTTATTTATTTTATAAGATGACTTTTGGAGAAATTAATTCACCTTCTTAAACCCTTATAAATGAAAGAGTTTAAAGTGCTTCTCAGAAACAGATAGATAGATG